GTGGGTCTGCCCACCTGAAGCCCTATCTGCCCGCCCACCCGCACAGGCTGCTGCAGGAGCTGCGGTCCGTGCATTGGCTGCCCCAGGACGATACCCGCAGCTTCAGCTTCCCGGAGCTGCAGCGAGCCCTGGCCCAGGAGAAAAGCCGTGCGCGTGGCCTGCTGGCCCACTGCCTTGCCCTCTGCACCACCATCCTGGAGCTGGTGAGCCCAGCCCGGCTTGGCACGGCACACCCCTCCCATGGACGCAGCAGAAGGGCTGCAGCACCCCCCACTGGGGACACCCTGTGTCCCCGTGCCCTCCATCCCAGGGGCAGGCAAGCCGGGGACGTGGGGGGAGCAAGTGGCCCCTCAAACATGGGGCCGCCCCGGCAGGTGCGCAATGACACGTACAGGATGGCGCAGGGGCTGCAGGGCGGGACGCAGGTCTGCGGGCACCCCCAGGCTGGGGGGTCCGCGCACCAGCAGCGCCTGCAGAGCGAGGGGATGCAGCGGTGGCACCGGGCGGCCGAGCGCTGGCTGGGGCAACTGGGCAGCCTGGCCCGGCTCGTCAACCTGCTTGTGGCCCAGAGCCTGGTCTCCATGGTGCAGGACCAGGTCACCGCTTTCATCGGCCGCGTCATGCAGGTGCGGGGGCACTGGCCTGGCTCCCCATGGCTGGGCCTCTGGGGCTGGCCCTGCCCTGCCCTGACCGCCCCCCTGCCCTCGCAGGCCGACGGCGCCGGGCGCGAAGCCGTGCTGCGGGTGCAGCTGGTCTTCGATGCCGACAACTGGCTGGTGTCCTTCCCCTCGCGCCAGGCGCTGGAGGACAGCCTGCTGGGTGCGCTGGACGCTGTGCTGGAGTCGGTGCTGGAGGTCAGTGCCCTCCGCCCCGGCTCCAGGGCCCGTCCACTCGGCCCGGGGCTGCTCCATCATGTGTCAGGCCCGGAGCTGTGGGGCTGCAGCCGGGCCCTGGAGACCCGCTGTGGCCCACGCTTCCCCACAGGTGTGCCAGACCAGAAAGGAGCTGCCGGGGTCAGTGGCCGAGTCAAGTGCCTCCGAGGCTGGGACGGCCCCAGGCCTGGACCCACTGACCGGTGCGTGCCCTCGCCCTGCCGCAGCCCCAGGGCCAAGCAGCGTCCACCCCTGTCCCTGCCCCCAGCCGCAGCAGAGGGGCCACCCCGGTCCCTGCTGCGTGTGGCCGGGGGGGCTCACACTGCCCCCCATGCGCAGCGCTCTGGGCGGCGGGGAAGGGCAGCATGGGGACCCCCGTGGAGCTGCTGCCCAGCCTGTGGGACGAGGCGCTGGGCACGCAAGAGCGAGCCCCGAGGCAGCCCCTCGCGGGCCTGGAGGTGACGGGGCGCCGGGCGCGCAGCCACTACCCAGAGCCGGCGTGGGAACAGCTGGAGCAGGACCTGCGCACCGACGGCTGCATCCAGGCGGCCCGCGCCACCCAGCAGGCCCAGCTGGCGGTGAGCGTGGGGCTGCATCGCCAGGGCCTGGTCCCACCCCACCCCCTGCACTCGGGGTCCCTGGGCTGCGGCCCCTCTTGCCGCTCCCCTTCCCTTGGGGCTGTGTTGCCCCCTTGCAGGGCAGCCACAGCCCAGGCACCCATCCCATGCCAGGCTGCTCCCGAGCTGCCCCAGGGGCCCGGCCCGCCCATCGGGACCAGGGCAGGAAGGAGGCTGGCCCTTCGAGGGGGGGCCAAGCCCCGCCGCCCCGGGCGGAGTGCGCTGCGCGGGAGCTGGGGCAGCATCGTCCCTGCCCCACGCGCTGAGCCGTGGCTGCGGTCGCAGGCGGCGCTGGACGAGACGCAGGAGCTGTGCCGGGAGCACGCCTGGGTGGCCGAGGTGCACGCCTTCGTGCAGGGCTGGAGCCCCGCGGCGCTGGAGGTCATGCGGGGCCAGGCACCCAGCACCTATGCTGAGCATGTGGCCCAGCTCCGCGCCTGGGCCCAGCGCCTGCAGGACTTGCCGCCCGCCGTCGTCACCCGCAACCGCCTCTTCCTGGTGGACTGCAGCAGCCTGCAACAGGAGACGGGTGCGTGGCCGGGGGGGCCCGCAGGACCTCTGTGGGGCACGTGGATGCTGCGGGGGGGCGGGGGCAGCAGGGCCCTGACCCCGCACCACCCCTGCCCCAGCACCCCTGGTGGCGTGCATCACCGCCGAGCTCCAGGCGCTGGCGCTGCACGAGGCCTCGCTGCGCAGCAAGGTCCTCATCACCGAGCTGAGCACCGTGCTGAAGCTCTACCGCAGCGTTGGCTCCGACATCCTCACCGTCGCCAAGTGCTCCCACAAGGTGCGGCCCCAGCCGGGGCGCCCCACGGGGTGGGGGCAGCTCAGACCCCCAGCCAGCCGGCGGGGAGGCACCGGCCCCCGGCGCTGACGAGCAGATCCCCCACAGCTGCAGCAGTACCAGGGCCAGATGGGCGAGCTGCAGGAGCGCGTGGAGTACGTGCGCAGCCTCAACGACGTGATCCGGCACTGCTTCCGCCCGCTCGCCCCAGACGAGGAGAGCCAGGAGAACGCGGTGAGCGCGCGGCAGGAAGCCACCGGGCAGGGGCACGGCCGGCCGGCGGGCGCGTGGAGGGGCACAGGCCTGGCCTCGGCCCCTGCAGCTTCCTGCAACGCAGCTCCTGGACGAGGGACGTCCAGGGCTCGCATCCAGTCCAGCCCCTGCCTGAGGCAGGGTCAGCCCCATCCAAACCAG